CTGGATTTGTATTCGAATTCCACTGAAATTCCCCCCATCTATAACCAAACAGAACATGATTCTTGGTTCCTGGGTCTTGGAGAAAGGAAGTCTCTGTTTCTCAGGTCAAGTGGCAAGAACTCTGGCCTCAGAATCTCCAAAGCCAGGATGGAGTCCAGGCTGTGCCCCGTCTTAGCTGGATGACCTTGGCCCAGACTTCTCTGGGTCTCAGTTTCTCTATCTGCGTATGCTCGGTTTGGTCTAGTTTCTACAATCCCTCCCAACTCTGACATTTGATGTTCTGGGGAAACTGAGGCCCAGGTTGGGGCAGTATCTTGCCCATGGTCACATGGGTAGTAAGTGGTGACTCCAAGAGGGGGTGTGGACATTAGTGGTGACCTTGGCACGGTTGTGGGGGGTGGACATTGTTTGTGATCCCCCACTAGACTGGGAGCTCCTTGAGGGCAGGGCATGTCTTTTGCCTTTCTTCCCACCTTCAGCGCTTAGCACAGTGCCCGGCACTAAGTAGGTGCTTAATGAATGCTTGTTGACTGACCCACTGACCAACTATGCCAGCTCTGACATTCTTTGTTCTAAGGTCCTGCTCTGACATTCCATCTTCTCTATTCTAAGGTTCCTCTACCCCCAGGTCTGATCATTTGATTTCTAAAATCCTTCCTCACTGCACTACTACTAGGCCTAGCAGCTGTCCAGTCCTCAAGCAGTCGGACAGTCCAGGGGTCCAGCATGTCAGACGTTGGAGCAGCTACCTTCTGACCAGCCTAAAAGCCAATGTCGGACCCTTGGGTGTCCAGCAGCTCCCAATCCAAGCACTCAGTCTCCTTTTCCCCTAAATGGCCTGGAATGTAGTTATGTCCACGTCTTTGCCCCTTGCTCTCCTAGGACAAAGAAGCGTGGGCTCTCCGCACATCCCATACTCCCTGTGGATCTCGGGGAAGCTTCCGCATTCTGCCTCTGAGGCTCGCCCTCAAAACTGAGAGGACAAACCATGAGAAGCACATAGCAGGCAAGACTTGAGAGTCCCATCAGACCTATCAGCTACTTTGGACCAGACCAGAGGCCTTTGCTTTTGGAGGTGTGGGAAGGCTCTATCACCTCCCACTGTCTCCTGACCAATGGTCTAGTTTCCTCACTCCCCTGATCCCACTGCACTTTTAAAGTGCAAATGTCCCAAATGGAGTCGCAGAGTTGGATGTGAGTGAACAAGGTGGGGGGACGTGAGTGAACAAGGTGGGGGGAGAGGGGGGGGGTTTGTGCCTGGAATACAAGAAAGACAAATCAAGAAAGAATGGGATGGAAACAAAGGAGGGTTCCCATATTCCACAAAAGCTTTCCACTTTTCCAACTGGGGAATCAGGGAAGCCTTCACGGAGCTGGTGAGAGACGTGCTGGGCCCTGAAGAAAGAATTTAATGGCCCAAAGACCCCAGCTTCTGGGATAAGAACTCACTATTTGACAAAAACTGCTGGGAAACTGGAAAAACATATGGCAGAAACCCTCTAACAAGATAAGGTCAAAATGGGTACATGACTTAGACATGAAGAGTGATACCATAAGCAAATTAGGAGAGTGAGAAAATGTACCTGCCAGGTCTATGGAGAGGGGAAGACTTTATAACCAAACAACAGATAGAGGACATTAGGAAATGCAAAATGGATGATTCTGATTACATTAAATTAAAAGGTTTTTGTACAAACAAAACCAATGCAACCAAGATTAGAAGGAAAGCAGAAAGATTGGACACAATCTTTACATCAGTGTCTCTGACAAAGGCCTCATTTCTCAAATATATAGAGAACTGAGTCCAATTTACAGTAGAAGTCATTCCCCAATTGATAAATGGTCAAAGGAGATGAACAGGCAGTTTTCAGATTAAATAATTAAAAGCTACCTATAGTCATATGAAAAAATGCTCTAAATTACTATTGATTAGAGAAATGCAAATTAAAACCACTCCAAAGTACCACCTCACATCTATCAGATTGGCTAACATGACAACAAAGGAAAATGATGAATGTTGGAGATGTGGGAGAATTGAAATACTAATGCATTATTGGTGGAGTTGTGAACTGATCCAACCATTCTGGAGAGTAATTTGAAACTATGCTCAAAAAGGGCTATAAAAATGTGCATACCCTTTGATCCAGCAATAGGACTTCTAGGGCTGTATCCCAAAGAGATCATAAAAAAGAGAAAAGAACGCACATGTACAAAAATATTTATAGCAGGGGCAGCTAGGTGGCACAGGAGACAGGATCGGCCCTGAAGTCAGGAGGACATGAGTTCAAATCCAGCCTCAGACCAAACACTTGACACTTACTAGCTGTGTGACCCTGGGCAAGTCACTTAACCCCAATTGCCTAAAAAAAAAATATATATATATATATATATATACACACACACACACACACACTCACACATAAATATACATATATATATTTATATTTATAGCAGCTCTTTCTGTGGTGGCCAAAAATTCGAAATTGAGGGGATGCCCATCAATTGGAGAATGGCTGAACAAGTTGTGGTATATGAATGTAATGGAATACTGTTGTGCTATAAGAAAGGATGAGCAGGCAGACTTCAGAAAAACCTGGAAAGACTTACATGAACTGATGCAGAGTGAAACGAGCAGAACCAGGAGAATACCATACACAGTAACAGCCACATTGTGCGATGAACAACTATGATCGACTTAGCTCTTCTCAGCAGTGCAGTGATCTAAGACAATTCACTCATGATGGAAAATACTGTCCACATCCAGAGAAAGAACTAAGGAGTCGGAATGCAGATCGAAGCAGGCTATTTGCTCTTTTTGTGTGTGTGTGGCCTTTCCCCTTTGCTCTGTTTCTTCTTTCACAACATGATTATTGTGGAAATGCTTACATGATTGCATATGTACAACCTACACTAGACTGCTTGCCATCTTGGGGAGGAGGAATGGGAGGGAGGGAGAAAAAATTTGAAAATTATCTTTACACATAATTGGAAAAAAATAAAATACTATTTAACAAAAAAAGAGAAAATTTTAAAAATCATTAAGAACTATTTAAAAAAAAAAGAATTTAATGGGATCACAGAGCTAGAAGGGGCTTCAGAGATTATCTGGTCCAGTCCCTTCATTTTACATATGGGGAAACTGAGGCCAAAAGGTGAAATGAATTGCTCAAGGACATAAGCAGCAAGCAGCAATAACATTTCTGGCGCTTTAGAGACAAGCGCATTTGATCCTCACAACCACCTCATGACATGCTATGATGATGCCCATTTTACAAATGGGAAAGTTGAGGCTCACGCTGTGACTTGCCAGGGCCACACACCTGGTTCAGGCCCTATGGGGGGCCTTCAAACCCAGCCTTCCTGACTCCACCCCGCTCCAGAGCAGACTGCCTCTCAATACATGTGAAGGGAGTAGGTGTGCTCCGAGGATGGTGGAGGGAGATGACCCCGGGAGATAAACGACAGCTTTTGTATGCTCTACTTGGAAATAGCTGGTTTGTTTAGTTGGTGTCGATTCTGAATTTTTTTTTCCTTTTAGTGAGGCAATTGGGGTTAAGTGACTTGCCCAAGGTCACACAGCTAGTACGTGTCAAGTGTTTGGTCTGAGGCCGCATTTGAACGCAGGTCCTCCTGACTTCAGGGCCGGTGCTCTATCCACTGCACCACCTGGCTGCCCCAATGTCATTTTTTTTTTGGGCAATTGGGGTTAAGTGACTTGCCCAGGGTCACACAGCTAGTAAGTGTCTGAATTTTTTTAAAAAAGAAGATAACCCCCAAAGAGGAGATCAATGCCAAGACAAGGGCTGCAAGGCCGGAGAGTGGCACTGCCCTTTCCTTACCTATAGCACCCATGGGCTCTTTGGCTCAGACAGGAGGCGATGGCGTACTACAGAAAGCCCACATAAACACTCTATTATCATACCAAGGGCCCTGGCTCTGTGGTCAGAAGGACGGGTTCAAGATCCAGCCCCACTTCTGGACCTTGAGGTGGTGAAGGCAGTCGAGGCCTCATTTTTCGCAATTTAAAATGGGAATAGTTGTTCTCACAAATGCAGGTGAAGCCCACTGCATGCCACGAAGCACTCCATCATCGCCCTAACATAACGCATTGTTCAGCTGTGTCCGACTCTCTGTGACCCCATTTGGGATCTTCTTGGCAGAGATACTAGAATGGTTTGTCATTTCCTTCTGTAGCTCATTTTACAGATAAGGAAACTGAGGCAAGCAGGGTGAAGTGACTTGCCCAGAGTCACACAGGTAGGAAGTGTCCGCAGCCAGATGAAGAGAGCGCTGGGCTCGGAGTTGAGAAAACCCCAATTCCAATCCTGCCTCAGACATGTACTAGCTGCACACGGTCCTGGGCACGTCATTTAGCTGCTGCTGACTTGGTTTCCCCAGCTGGAAAATGGGGATAATAATAGCACTTACCTCCCAGGGTTGTAAGGGATGCAATGAGACTGCCCCAGCAGGGCACATGCATCTCAGAGTTTGGATGCTGCAGCCCGAGGGGCCCCCATTCGAGCCACACTCTCTGTAAGATCAGAAGAGTTTCTGAACATTTCCCACCGAACTGTGGCCACCCAACTGCCCTTCGGCCAATTCTGGGCCTCTCAGACTCACATGTGGCCCAAACTGGGAGGGACGGCCCAGAGAACGCGGGACGCGGAAGGTCAGGGCCGGGAGGGCCCAGAGAATGCGGGACGCGGAAGGTCAGGGCCGGGAGGGCCATAGAAAGGCAGAGTTGCACAGATCCTTGGAACACGGGCTGTCAGGGCAGAAAGGCATCTCAGAACCTTCGGTTGCTCCCTGAGCGCTGCCAGGGGTCAGCCGTCTCACCCCAGTGCCAGCCCAGGCACCGGGTGAACTCGGCCTCCTCAAGCCCACAACTCCATCTGTCCCACCAGCCTTGGCACCACTGACGGCCCAGGCCAGGTTTCAGGGCTCCTTGACCAAGCACCAAGACCTTCCCAAAGGCAAGAACTCCACATCACGCCCCAGAAAATACATTTTATTAATCTAACCTTAAAACATTGGAGCCCAACATCAGCCTACAGCTAGCTACCCAGCACTTATGTACAGGTAGGGGGCTGCCAGCTCGGCCGTGGGGCGCTATGAGCGCCGCTCTCCCTCAAGCTCGCCCACAGCATCTCGGGGTCTAGGTCTCTGTGGCCCCCAGTCCCCGCTCCCACTGCGGCCAGGCAGCCCGGCTCTAGAAAGGCCTTTGGTGCCAAGCTCACCTTTTGCTTGCCTACACTAAAAAACCTCAATAAACATATAAAAAACATATACAGTCACTTTGAATCCACAGGATGGCCAAGAGGGGCCTTCCTGCCCCCTCCTCAGGGCTTCTTCAGGCCGTAGGACAGGCCCATAAGGGCCCGGGACCCTGGCAGAGGCGGGGAATGCCAGACGGCAGAGCTGGTGCGCTTGTGGTAACGCGGTTTACTCTTGTTGAATATGTCCTCCAGCTTTGGACTGAGGATGGTCCCAAAGAGCTGGTCGATGTCAGGAGGCTGGTAGTACTGACGGATGACAGCCTGGCTGAGCTGGGTGCCTGGGGCAGGGGAGAGTCGGGGGTCGTGCCAGCACAGGGGCTCAGGGAGATGCCACCCAAGTCCGGATGACTCCCCCTCAAGACTGTTCCAAAGTTTCCCTTCTTATCCCCACTGCACCAGCAGCCCTCCCAGCCAGAACTTTCCTTTCCCTCCCCTGACCTCGGGCCCAGGCTCTCCTTTCCCCCAAAGGGCCTCCGCTCAGTGAGCCACGCCCTCTCCAGGCACAACAATCCCACCCCTTTCTCCCTAATCTTTTCTTTCTCTCCCAGGTCTCTCTGGTTCCTGAAGGAGGCTCCTGAGAGCCCGCCCGGCTGCATCTCTCTTCTTCCCCTCCCTTTGCTGAATACCTTCCAATAGCCAGACTCTCAGTCCCCCCCCCTCGCCCCCTTCCTCTCCTCAGGCCTTGCAATTCGGCCTCCAGCCTCGCCATCCCACTGCCACTGTCCCCAGCGACCACCTAACTGCCAGACCCAACAATCGTCTCCAGGTCTCTGCGGCTGATGGCGCCACCGGGCACCTTGCTCTCTCTGGCTCTGACTGCTCCTTCTCAGCCTTCTTTGTAGTCTGTACATCCCCCAGGGCTCTCTCCTGGCCCTCTCCTCTTTTCTGTCCACACTCTCATTTGGTGACCTCATCAGCTTCCATGAGTTCAGCTACCCTCTACGAGGATCACTCCCAGACCTATGTATCCAGCCCTTACCTCTCTCCTGAGTGCCAGTCCCAAATCACCAGTAGTTGCACACTGCACATCTCAAACAGGATGTCCTACCTGTCTATCTCAAACTCAGAATATCCGACGTCCAGAATTCTCTCTCCCCTCGTCTACACTTCCCTCTTACTGTTGAGGGCAGTGCCCGCCTTGCTCACAACCTCAGCATTCTCCCTCTCATCCTACATGGCCCACCGTCTCTGACACCGTCCTGCTGCGGCCACCACTCTACCTCCCCCAGGCCCTTGTGGCCTCACTTGCACCAGCAGTTGTCCTCCTAGTTGGTCTTGTCTAAAGCCCAGCAGGGCTGAGCACACCCCTCCCCAGCTCAGCCTCTGGATCAAACAGAAGCTGCTGCTGGCCATTGAGCCACACTGCTCTCCTCAGCAGACTGGAGTCCAATCTAATGGGCAAGTCACTTGTAACTGTCCAAGAGGTCAGGTCCACACTTACCGTTGGCCCAAGCAGGAATCGGCTTTCGGGGCTGGGTCTCATCGTCTGTGGAGTCATCACTGTTCAGATCCATCCCATAGTTGTCTGGGTTGATCTTGGGGCCCCCCTTGGGGCCCTGGGGGGTCATTTCATAAGAGTTGCAAGCTGGAGACTGAAGAAGAAAGGAGACCTCTTTATCTCTTCCTGCCACACTGGAGGGCACCTAGGGCTGCCAGAGCTGGAAGGACCCTTTGAGAGGATCCAGTCCAAACCCTCCCCTCACCCCACCCAGACTGATGCGGGAGACTGAGGTCCAGAGTGGCCACAGGTCAGTACTCTGAGGCTCAGTCTTTTAATCTGTAAAATGGGGAGAAGTCACACTGCCTCTAGCACAACACTGCTGGGAGTCTCAGAGGAGAGGATGTTTACAGAGACAATTATGTCGACAGAAGTTACTGTTTGCGAGGAGTCCTCTTGTGGCCAAAGGCACGTTTTCTGGGAATGTGTGAGCGGGCCCTCACAGGGCTAGTGGGGCACTGTCAGCTCCTGTTGGACCAAGTACTCGATCACTGAGGATAACGGGGGAGGAAGATGGAGAGGGCCTCATCGCGGTGTGATTTATCTAGCTAAACCCTAGATAACCCTTCAGGGAGCTCTGAGCGGTGACCATCTCCTGACTGAAAAAAGACAGAGCTAAGGCCTGGCCCGCGCTGAAGCGAGCCTGTGGAGCCTGGTTAACCTGGCGGCTGGCAGGGAGCCACTGGCTCCCCGGGCTGGTCCAGAAGGGAGGCTTTCCCTCCCTGCTGAGCTCCCCTTGGAGAGTTCTCCCCAGGCTTTCTTTCCCTGCTCCTCCTCTGACGCCACAGAATGTTGGGGAGGTTCAGAGTTTGAGCTGCCTGGGACCTTGGGGGTCATTAAGGCTATCCCCCCCATCCCATTTTGCAGAAGAGAACCCTGGGGCCCAAAGAAGCTAAGAGATCACACAGCGAATGCTCCACGCTGATAGCTGAACCCCAATGCAGTGTTCTCTGCTTGTCATTAGCCCCCCACTGGTCTCAGACACAGCCTTGGGATATAGCCATCACATGGTGCTGACTGTGCCAGGCCATCATCAGACCCCAGTTACAATACTGAGAAGATGGAATTAAACAGGGATTCATGTCAATGCAACGATCCAACTCTGCAAGGGGCAGGACCCAGGACTTTCAGGGGACAGCAAGCTCAGTGTGGGTCGGCTGAATGATGCGGCTCCCCGGAGAGCCGGGGGAGAGGCAGGTGGGCAGGGCTTCCAAAAACAGGAGGTGGCACTGGTGCCTCTGGCCTCTGCCCCACTGCCAGGCTCAGGCTACATCCCCCATAAAAGGGCAATCCAATGCCAAAGGACCTGGGACCACTGAGCCAGGAGGAGGGAAGACTGAGGGATGGCACATGTAGGGTGGGAGCCTGGGTGAGGCCACAGAGGGCAGAGCCAGGGGCAATGGGGGTCACTCTGGGCATCCCCTGACATTCAGAGCTGTCCAAAAATGCAGTGGGCTGGCCCATCAAGTGGTGGGCTTCCCATCCTTGGGAGGTATTCAAGCAGAGGCTGCATGACCCCTTGCTCCGAACACTGGAAAAGGACCCAGGGTGGGCTTGGCTAGCGGCCTAAGAGACTCCTTGGAGCCTGTCTTCTGTGGCTCTGGGCAGGTCGCGCCTCCCAGCACCTGCAGGGACTTGCCAGGGAAGAAGGGGTGGGTAGGGAGCTGCACAGGGGGGCCTCACCTGCACGTCCACTGTCACATTCAAGAACTTGTTGGCAGCCCCGGCGGTGGCGGCCTCCCGGGCCTTCTTCTCCTGCTCCTCCTGCAGCTTCCTTCGCTCCTGCTCGTGGCGCTGCTCCAACTCCTGGGGCCGACACAAAGCGTGCATGAGGCCCGGAAGCTGCCCAAGGCACTGTCCCCCACCCCCGCCCTGTCCCTAGAAGCCCGAGAGACCAGAGGCAGCAGCCTCAGAATGGGCTATGGGGGAGGGGAGGGGACACAGCAGCCATGACCAAAAGGCCCGCCCCAGGTCCTGCCCAAAAACCTGGGCCTCACCCTCTTCCGTTTCTCCTCCAGCTCCCTCTGTAATCTCTCCTTCTGTAGCCGCTGGGCTCGCTCCCTGAAAACCAAGAGCCCAACCTGTCAGTCACCAGCAGGAACCGGACCAGAGGGCTGACCCTGGCCCAAATCCCACCCCCACCCCGGCACAGTCTGCCATCTCCCCAGGGCTTAGCACACCGAGCCCCACCTGCGGGTGGCAGCAGGACAGAGGATTTGCAAAGGGGGACGTGCTCAAGGCCACCCTGAGAGTAAACGATGGAGCCAGGATGTGGGCCTGAGCATCCCCCACACGCCCCGCTACCCACGCTGCCTTCTCAAGCCCCGGGAGCAGTCTGCTGGGATCACATTCACCCTCAGTGTCTCTCTCTCACACACCCACACACTATCTCTGACACACATACTCAGTCTCATACTCATAATCTCTCACACACACACTCAGTCTCACTCATACAGCCTCTCTCACACCCACCCAAACACTCAGCCTCTCACACCCACTCAGTCTCTCATACAGCCTTTCTCTCTCACACCCACACACACACGCTCAGCCTCTCTCACATCCACTCAGTCTCACACACTCTCTCTCACATCCACTCAGTTTCACACACACACCCACACACACTCAGTCTTTCTCACACCCACACACACACTCAGCCTCTCTCACATCCACTCAGTCTCACACACACACACCCAGTCTCTCTCTCACACACACTCAGTCTCTCTCACACACACACACACTCAGTCTCTCTCACACACACACACTCAATCTCTCTCACATCCACTCAGTCTCACACACACATACCCACACACTCAGTCTCTCTCACACACGCACGCACACACACACACTCAGTCTCTCTCTCTCTCACACACACACTCAGTCTCTCTCTCTCTCTCACACACACACACACACACACACACACACACTCAGTCTCTCTCACACACACATGCTCAGCCTCTCTCACACCCACTCACACCCACCCAGCCACAGTCTCTCTGGCCCACGCAGAGGCGGGGGAGGCGTGTCTGGCGGACGGGCCCTCACCGCTCGGCCTGCTCTCTCTCCAGGACCAGCTGCTGCTCCCGCTGCTTCTGCTGCTCCACGATCCTGCGGGCCTCGGCCACCTTCCGCAGCCGCTCCTGCTCCTCCTCCTTCTTCTTCTGCAGCTGCTCCTGGTACCTGCGATCTTCCTCCTCCTGGAGGTGGGAAGGAGACGAAGCCCAGTCAGGCCGGGCCAGGTTGGGCCCCCGGCTCCCCACCGCACAGGCCCGGGCAGCTCCCCGGGCAGCCAGAGGGCTGGGCTTGGCACGGATCAGGCTGACCTACCCCTCTATAAGATGAGGGGGCTGCTCTCAACAGCCTCCAAGGTCCCTTCCAGCTCTAAAAGCAGTGGGTGCACAAGAGCCATCCTTGTGGATTCCAAAATAGGACCAGCAAACCACCCACATTTGACTACAGAATGAATATTCTGGGCCAAAGAACAGCTGGGCTTAGGCCCCCCCCTCCCCCTCAGATACAGGTCAGAGAGGTTGGGACACTCATCCCACAAAGAAGCCCAAGCCGCCTCTTCCTGGGGGGCGGAGCGCCGTCAGGGTCTTTCTCTCTTAGGCCCCTCCCCCTCTGTGGGCGGGGCCCTGCAGCATTTCTCTGGTGCTCCACTGGGGTCCTCTCCTCTGTTCCTTACCCACAATTCTGGAGGCTAATGGGATTTTACAGAAGAGGAAATTGAGGCAGGCAGCAGTGAAGTGACTCGCCAAGGTCACACAGCTACTAAGTGTGGAGGCTGGATCTGAACTCGGGTCCTCCTGACTCGAGGCCCAGCACAGCTAGCTGCCCCCCCAGGGAAGGGGAAGGGGCCTGTCTCAGCCCTGAGGATGGCCAGCCCCGCTCCCGCCTGCCAGGGCCTCCATCCCCGCCCACTGGGCTCACCTGCTGGAGCCTCTTCTGCCTCCTGGCCTCTTCCTCCTGCTTCCGCCGGGCCTCCGCCTCCTCCAGCTTCTTGGCCGCTTTCTTCCTGGCCTTCTCCTCGGCCAGCCGCTCCTCCTTTGCCTGCCGGAGCCGCCCAGCCGGTCAGCAGTCAGGTCAGGAGGTCGGGACCCCACCCAGCCCAGCACCGTCAGCGCCTCCCGGCCCAGGGCCGCCACTGACCTTCTCGTTCTTCTCCAGCTGAGCCAGCTTCTGCTCAATGCGCCTCTTTTTCTCCACCTCCAGCTGTTCCGCCCGCTCGCGGGCCTGCAGGACCTTCCGAAGGCGCTCTTCCCGCTTCCTGGGGTGACGAGGAGGAATGGACACGTGCCCGGGCTTGGAGAGCCCCCTCCATCCTCCCCCAAGGCCTCCACAGGGGCCCGAGTGGCGGGCCAGGCCAGGGAGTGGGCGGGGCACTCACATCTTCACCTCCTCCAGGCGCCGCCGCTTGTCCTCCTCCACCTTCTGCTTCCTCAGCAGCTCGGCCTCCTCCTTCCTTTTCAGGTTCTCCAGCCGCTGCCGCTCCTTCTCCTGGGGATGGAAGGGCCGGGCCGGGCTGTGAGGCAGCGGCGGAGATGGGCAGGCGCCAGCAGAGGCTTGGGTCCCCCTGGCCTCCCCTCCACCCCAGCCGCCTGGAGCACAAGAGGGGCTGTGTCCCAGGCAGGACTTGAACACAGCTCTGAGGCCAGCTGCCTCTCCATCTGCTGTAACAAATGTTATTGATGTGAACGGTGCCAAAGGAAGGGAAGCTGTGGGCACCGTGAGTGCCCTGTCTCCTGCCAGTGTGGCCTCCCAGGGCCGGCTCAGCCCCTAACCGGCCAGGTGGCCTGGGACCACTGCTCCCCTTCTCTGACATCCAAGATTTGTCATCTGTAGAATGGGCTCATTGTCCTTCACCTACATCCCTCCCACTGTGGCTGTACAGAAACCGAGGCCTGGGGCTGCCCTGGGTTCTCTTGGTGACCCCAGTCAACATCGGGGGACCGCTGATCCAGAGGGGGAAGGCACTTTGCCAAGGCCGCACACACAGGATGCAGTGAGCCGGCGTTCAGACCCCGAGAAGCTGGGGACAGTCTCATCTGGCGGTGTGGCCGAATGATCAATGCCAGTGGACCTGCCAGCCCGAGGGGGTGGCAGCCCCCTAGGTGTCTGCAAGGGACCAGGAGAAGGGGCAGGGAGTGGCGCTCACAGCCCTCGGCCATGTGAGCAGAAAGAAGATGTTGTCCCAGTGTGTTGGGAGAGCCCCCGAGGGCCTCCCTGGCCAGGCTGTTCTGGGCACCCCTTCTGAGGAAGGCCCGAGAAGAGCTGGCCGAGCCAGGCCTGAAAAATCTATCCTACGAAGAATGGGTGTACGGAGCTAAAGAAAGGGGGGAAGGGAGAAGAGGGGGTGTCACGCACAGAAGGGATTAGCTCTGCTAGGCCTCGATGGCAGGACCTAGGAGGAGGCCAACGGGAACACAAAACAGAGCTTTCTAATTTAACTCAATGCACACTTCCTTGGGGTCTACTGCGGGCAAGCATCATGCTGACAATCAGAGACACCCTCCCTGTCCTGTGATGCAGTGAGCTCCCCGCTGCTCTAAGGTGTTCGAGTAAAGGTTAGACAGATGACTGTCTGTCAGGAAGCTGCGGAGGGAATGCCTACCTCTGGCAGAACCGAGGGCTCGATAACCTCCCTAGCTCACCACGCAGACACCAGCCGAGGGATTGCTCCCTCTCTAATGGCATGGGGGAATCTGAGGTTTTCCACAAGAACATCACTGCCAACTCCCCAAAGTCCCCTGGGTTCCAAGAACCGGGCAATGAAAGAGCCTACAAATGGGCTGCTGCCAGGGTCCACTTCCCTCCCCACTTCTCCAGGGAGAAAGCTTCTCTAGAAGTGACGTGCCCCGGGAGCTTGGGCTCCTCTCCCCTTTCCCTCCGAGTGGGCCCCATCAGAGTTCCCAAGATGGCGGCCAGCCCAGCTCTGCTCCCAGAGCATCAGAAGTGCCTGAGCTCAAGGGAGAAGAGCAACGTCACCCCCAGCTCAGCCAGGCCAACTCAGAGTGTTTGAGGTACAACAGAGGAGAGCCTGAGGGCCCCGATGCTTTAAGGCACATGCTCCCTCAGGCTCCTGGGGCCAAGGCCAAAGCCTCCCAAATCAGCCGGCTTGCTCAGCTTGTAGCAAGTGGAACAGCGGGAAGCGGGACAACGGGAGAACAGCATTTTAGGGATAACTGACAAAACTGGATTTTCTTTTTCCAAAAAAAAATCAGGTATAGCCAATTTTCACCAAATTGAATCTATAAAAATCCCTGAATTTATGAAACAAAAATCCTTTCTGAAAGGATTCAGCCAGAATTGCTTTAAGCAGTTGCTCCTTGCAGCACATTTAAATGACAAACTGGGGGTGGGGGTTTCAGGCCCCGTGAGAATTCCCAGCGTGGGACCTCCCTCCACCTCTCTGCATCAATGACATTTCTCTACCAGCCTCAGAAAGCTGCCCAGGGTGCGGGAATTCCCATGATCCGCCCATGACACCACAATCAATCAAAGGCAATGCTTGACCTCAGGTCTTCCATGCCCAGGAAATCCTCTGGCCCTCCCTAAGCAGAAAGCTTGGGGCAAACTGCCTTCCCTGGGATGCTGAGGCAGGTGGCTGCAATCTCCCCCAAGCTCAGCTCAGGGGGTCATCATGAGACAAAGGTCTCCTTGGAGCAGAACTGGGACGTCACCCCCCCTCAGACAAAACTGCCTTCCCCTTTTCCCGAGGCTCCAAAGCAGGGAACCCCCCGTTCCCAGAGGGATGAAAATAGTTTCACTGATTCCTTTCAGCCACCTGCTGGGTTTTTTTGGGTCTTTAGAACATGCTGTCCCTGGAGGAAGCATCTAAATATTCCAAGGCAGCCTGCTGTCTCACCTGGACAGTAGGGATGGCCCTGAACTTTCTCAGAAAGTGGCCAAGGAGGCCAGTAGGAGCCTATCCCCGAGCGCCCTAATGCAGGTGAGCAGGAGAGACACACCCAGACAACCACCTTCCAGCCTCAGGCTGAGGGGATCCCGCAGGCAGAACCCCCAGGTGGTCACGGGGGGCCTGCGCAGACCCCAACACAAAGTTACGGAGATACAGGCCGCCCGCCCTGCTTCTCGTGGGCACTTTCCTGATTCCCAGAGGCTGCTGACGGCAGCTGGGCCATCTCTGCCCAAGATGCCAAGTCCACTTGGACTTCTAATACGAGGTTCCCTGTGCCTTCATTACCCCAGCTCTGTCTCATGGCTCTGCCCCCACCTCATGTCCAAAGGCAAGTCAATCCCACACCTTCAAAATCAACTGGCCAGAAGGTCCCACGGAATGAGTGTCAGCTTCTCAAGGCTAGGCCGGGACGCCACAGCAGGCGTGCTTGTTAGACTGAACTGAAAGTGAAGGTCCGACCTCCTTAACGAGGACTCAGAGACTCTGGGAATTAGGAACGTGACTTTGAAAACACAGCCTTTCTCACTAACACTAGGTGACAAGGTCAGTTCTACCATCCTACAGCGGGGAGCACTGTCGGCTACCATCGAGCCACGGGCCGGGGAAAAATCGGGGGCAGGGCAGGCCAGGGGGCCACTTTGTTCCTTGCTTGGTGAGAGCCCAGGCTTGAGGCCTCGATATCAAGGAGGGTCGGGGAGTGCATCGTGGCTGACGACAGTGCAAAGAGGCGCCCCGATCGGCTCGTCTGTGTGGGGCCAGCATCCGCAGGACGAGCCCTGCACGGACTTGCTGGGTGACCCTGAGCCAGCAACTCGGCCTCTTCGGGGGCCCCCTTCCCCAGGGAGTTACTCTGCTGGCACACTCACAAAGTTAGTGTTTGAACAAGTGATTCTAGCACGTCAGGAAGCAGTGGTCCAGTAGGGAGGGCAGGGATGGGTGGCTACAGTACTAAGATGGGGGGTGGATTACTTACGACAAAACCGCCCTGTGTAAAGGAGACAAGGAGGAAAGCCCGCATTAACTCCTTCAGCCACCGCAGACACCCCCACCACGCACACAGCCCTGGCCATAAATGACCCAGCCAGCAGCCTGTAGCTACCCTGCCCATGAGGGGAGGGGCTCTGCTGGCCTCCCCGACCTCTGACCCAGCCGTCTCCTCTCGCCCCACTCCCCTCAAGCCTCCGACACGCTAAGCAGAGTGGTCCAAGCTTCACCTAATCGTCATACACACTACGGGTAGGGGAAGATACGCCGTTTAATTAAGCTACTCTCCTAAGACTATTCTGTATGCAACCCACAGGGAGCATGAAGTGGAAGCTCAGCTCTTTGCCTGGGCCTAGAGTGCCAGGACCAGGGCCACCTCTTCCAGAGTCACACCAGGCCTCTGGCTCAGCTACGGGCGCTGCTTGGACCACGGCACCCCCCAGCTCTCCGGGAAGGTCGCCACCCCAAACCGCACTCCCAGCTGTCCTGTGGAACTCCCAGGCACAGGCCAGGCAGAGCAGGCTCCCTCCTGGCTGCCCCCTGCCCACCACTGACCTTGGCATCCACGTGGAGAGGAGTGTTACGCTTGATGAACGACTTCATGACGCTGGTGCGGCCAGCCGAGGTGGGCGTCATGAGCATCTGATTCTTCTGTACCGTGTGTAGGAAGGTCCGCAGGGGCCGCACCACCTGCCAAGGGAGACAGAGGGGAGGACGAAGGCGTGGGCGTGATGATGACGCGGCAGCTGCTGACCCCAGGAGAGCGAGCGTGCCTCACCTGCCTTACCTTGCTGGGAGGGCAGACGGGGGAGGGAGTCTTGGTCCTAGGAGGAGTGAGCACCTCGTCGTCGTCCATGTGGTCCCCGTTCTCACCCGGCTCGCTGACAGCCTGCTTGTAGCTCCTCTTCCGCCTGTGAGGGGCAGGAGCGGCGCCCATGAGGGCCTGGGCGGGATGACAAGGGCCCCAGCCCCGGCCCCTCCCACTCAGCTCAGAGTGGGCGGGCCTGACGGGTGGGGTGTCGGCTTCATCCCCACACCGCTTTCTAGGCCTGGGACACCTTTTCAGTCACCACCTCAAGAGGCCCAGGGGCCCACTCCCAGAGGGCTCTGTGCTGGGCCTGGGGTGGGACACAGTGAAGCAGTCTCTGCCTGCCCTCATGGAGCTTCCAATCTAGCAGGCGGAGAAGATGCCAACAGAGGGTGAGAAATAACACCCACTACTACACAATCATAAATTCTCAATGAAATCGAACAAAACTTTGACAAGCGTCTCCTCCATAAAGAAGGCTTGTCCTAGGTTCTGAAGCTCCAGTGGCAAAGACGAAACAGGCCCTGCCCTCGAGAGGCTCACATTCTCCTGGGGAATGTATAGAGAGGCATGTGTGTGTGCGCGCGTGTGCATGTATGTGTACAAGCTCATCTGAGGAGGGAGAGGACACCCCCCTCTCTACTACGAACCCCGCCCCCTCCCCCGAGCTGCCCGTCAAAGCTGGGTCTCCCATCACGTTGCCACCAGCAGAGCCTCACGAAGACAGAGCCAGGAGGGCCCTCAGAAACCATCCTATCCAACCATTTTACAGAGAAGGAAACTGAGGCCCAGAGAAGTCATTTGCCTAAAGTCGCACCGTGGGTCTAGAGAGCTGAGGGGACTGCCCCTTCCTGTCCTTTCACCTGCCCCATGAACCAGACTCTTCTTAAACGGAGATTCTGAGAAAAGTGATTTTGGAGGTGAAAAGCAAACTACATGTGTCAGGATGCATTGGGCGGGGCAGAGATCACGGCTCTTTGGAATGCCTCGACGCCCCCAAGCTCGGCTCTGAGGTTGTCTGTCCCAGCAGGGTCTCCCCCCAAAAGCCGAGCTCGTGTGGGGGCTCTCAGAGGGGCCCCGAGGGCAGGCCCCCAGCCTGGTGCCTGGCGCAGAGGAGGCACAAATTGCCTGAGGTACACGGTGGCGTTAGGGTCCGCGGGCCCCCTCTGGATGCCACCATGGGCTGCCCGGGTCGCTGGCCTCCCCCCGGTCCCTGCCCCAGCACCCTACCCGCCACCTCCCTAGCTCGCGCTCACGGTGCCCCCCGGTCATCGTACCTGACGCTCTGGGGCGGCTCCCTGGGCTCTTCGCTTTGGTACGTCTTGCTCTCTGTGGCGGAACAAGGCAAGGGAGGCCTCCCTTACACAGAGCCTTTCACCCCCGCTGTTGTGTTAGATCCTCGCCACAGATTCGGGGCACAAAGGGAGCTAACTCAGTGTTAACCAAGTGACGCCCCAGCTGGCAGGTGAGCAGGAGAGGGGAGCTCACCCCAAAGAGCCTGCTGAGGAGCCGAGGTTAGAGCCAAACCACTGGGCTGCTGGGTGCGGAGGGGCCACTCCCCATTTCCTCCCAAACAGAACTCCCTTAAACACTGCCACGCCATCCCCGGCCCCCCCGAACAGCCCCTCAAGTGGCCTCCTTCCCCTCGGTCCCACCCCACTCCTTCCTTGGCTCATGAACCTCTCCCTCATTGGCTTCCCATGCTACAGCTAGAAGCTGGAGCCCACGCCTTGCAGGTCATGCTAGGGCTGGCTGCTGCCGGCCCCTCTCCACAATGGCCCACATAGGGTGACTGCCCTGCCCGGCTTCAGGCCTCCTCCTCCTCCACACCTTCCTCCCTGAGGTACAACCCCTCACCCTCCAGACATATCAACTGCCTTAATTAGAGAAAAGCCAAGCTTTTCCCTCCGGGTCTGAGACTACCGGTGATCCTCTGCTGACGTAACAGGTCAGCTGTTCCCGGCCTGCGCCTGCCAGGGCTAGCCCCTAAAGGGACGGCCCTCAGGTGAGCATCTGTTCTGACAACCCTTTAGAAGTGAGGAAACTAAGGACCAGAGACAGATGCTCCATCAGCTTCAGTTTAACTCCCTTCCAGCAAACACAAAGGAGGAACAGATTCAAGGAGAAGGCAGCAGGGAGACAAGTGCCACCCCAGAGGTCCTGCTTCCTTCTCACGGCCCATCACCCCAGGAAGGCCTTACCGCCGTCGCCATCTGCTTGGCTTCTAGACTCTGGTTGGGCCTTCGGGGTGCTGATGGCAATCTTGTGGGCGTTGCGAGGGCGCAGCGTCCTCCTGGTGCCCTCGGGCGCCTGCAGGCAAGGGCAGAGCGCTGGGCTGTGTTCTGGCCACCTCCCTTCCCCATGAGACAGCTTGGACGAACACAGGCCCTGATCCAGGGCTCCCCCCGCAAGGCAGAAAAAGATCAGTCTGTTTAAGGGAATGACACTGCAGGAAGAGGTTGCCTCTGGTGGCTAGGCCAGAGGCCAAGAGCACACGGCCAGGGGCCCTTCCGCTGCCTGCCCTCCTCTCCCCTGAGCCCTGCCTACCTCCTGCTCGGTTTCTGTGGCATGCTCCAAGTCCTCTTCAGAGCTGAAAGGAAACAGAGAAAGTGTAAAGAAGAGCCCAGCCCCCAAACACCAGGAGGAGTGAGCTCCAGGGAGGCCACGTCTCCTCATCACCAGGAAGCTCCATTCTCTTGACCCAGGCAGAGCAATCCAGCTCATCACCCACACCCTGGGCCTCGGAAAAACTGGCCGCGGGGAATGTATGGGGATGGGCAACAGAACTCTGTTTGGAGGGGAGTGGTGAGGTGGCTGGCTGGGCTGGACCCGGGAGGAAGGTGCAGAAAGCCTGCCAAGAGGGCACAAGGTCAGAGGCTGCTGGGCCTTAAAGGACAAGCTGGAGTCTATTTGATCCTGGAGGCAGCGAGCCTCGGGAGCAGGGGGCTGACGGCTCTAAGGAAGGCACAGAGAACAACGAGGAGGCCACTATAATGGCAAGGAGAGGAGGCTGGGCAGGGACGGGCAGCACCACCCACTGGGGAAGGGTCAACACCTCCCTGGGAGGGTGGCCCTGCCCACCACCACGCAGGGGGCGGGGGAGGGGGCCTTCCGACAGCCACCGCCCTCCCAGGGCAGGCTCCTGGCCTTCCTTCCGTGCCGGGCACTCCCACAAACTGGCCACATGCCTTTCTCTCCGAGTTCCCTTCTTGTAAAATGAAGGGGTTCAGAGGGTCACAGCCTTCGAGACAAAAGGCAACTCAGAGGCCACGAGTCCAACCCTTGCCTTTTAGAGAGGAGGAAACTGAGGCCCAGGCAAGGTCAGAAGCAGAGCCCACGACACCCCCCCAAGGCCAGCTCTGACTCTGGAGCCAGGGCCCTTTGCTCTGGGCCAGCAGGACTCTTCCCCATGCTGACCTCCTACAAATCTGTGGTTCAGGATTCGGGGCTTGAGGAAGGATTTGCTACCAGAGGTATCTCTGGGCTACCTCTTCTGCCCCTGAAGGACACCGTGACGTGGGCCAGGATGCTCTTGGCAATGCTCGAGCCAAGCTCCCAGCAGCAGTCTTGCCCACGGCAGGGGGAGCTAGGGTGCATTTCAGCGACGGAGGGAAGCTGTCCCCACAGGGTGTCCTTCAGAGGCCTCCAAGGCCAGGGGGCCGTGAGCATCTGACTGTCACAGAAAAGCCGCCCACCTTCCTCCCCTTGGCTCCAGAGCATAAGTCTTCATAGGGCCTTCCAGGTCCCCACCCCCTTGTTCTTCTCTCCTCAACATGGAATTCTGGGATTGCCAATTAAGCAGCCATGGAGTGGTGAGGACCAGGAAGGGGTCATGATTCCAGGGAGGCCGAGCTGTGGGTGACAGTGGCCAGGTTGGGAGAGCGACCACAGGAGGCCAACCTGAGCCCCGAGCGGCCCCAAGCGCACGCTCTTGGCCTCTGGTGGGCACAAGCCACGGGCCATGGTGCAGTTCATATGTGGCCATGCCTGGAGAGGCCGAGGAGGACACAGCAGCCGAGCCAGTCCCAGGTGAGCTCTGGCTTCTCCTGGAAGGGTCCGGAACCGTTTGAGATGATGCCTTTTTGTCCCCAGTCCCGGGGGCATCAGGAGGAGGAGGGATCCCCTGTCTGCACCCAGAGCATGGCTCACGGACAAAGGCGTCGGTGTCTCACCTGGCTTTCCTGGGTACTTGTACATCCAGGAGCTTCTCCAGGTAGCTGTGGCCTGAAAGGAAGAATCCAGGACAAAACAGGCAGTCAGAGAACAGCAGCATGTCCTGGAAGGGCACGAGACCTGAGGTCACGAAAGGCCCGGGTTCAAATCCTTGACCTGACAATAGCTGTTTGACCATGATCAAGTCACCCTCCCCCTCTGACCCTCAGCTTCCCCGTCTGTAAAATGGAGATAGTAACACCTATAGTACCTACTCACAGGTGATACTGGGAGGGTCAAATGAGATAATGTATAGGAAGCATCTCGAAGGTGTGACAGAAATGCTTATTAATCACAATCACAAATCCGATGGAAACCACTCGGTTCTTTTCCCAAGAAGCCCAGTTGCCTCTGCGGCCCGGGACGGCAGGGATTCGGGAGACCTGTTCCTCCCAGGTTTCACCTTCCATTCTCCCTGCTAACCCTTCTGAAGTCCCCCTCGGGACCATGTGGTCTTGTGGAGAGAGCTCTAAATTGGGAGTCAAAGGAACCAGGCTCAAGCTCCAGGACCATTATGTACTGGCTGGGAAAACTGCACCAAGACCCCTGCTGTCTCCAGGCCTCAGCTCCCCCACCTGCCAAACAAAGGCGTCGGCCTAAGTCATCGGCTCTCAAGCCCTCGTTGGGGGCAGGGTGGGGTCACAAACTGGATGGGGCCCACTCTCGTAGACCTGCCACCCTCCCCAGTCAGGGTGCGGCGACTCCTCGGCTCTAAGAGCCAAGAAAGGGAGGAGAACCGCTGACAGAGATGGTGTAACGGGCCCTTCTGGCCCTCTCCATCCTGGACCGCCATGACACAAGAGCCAAAAGGCCCCACCCTCAAATGAGAGGAGTGGTCGCCTAGCTCACCTAACTGGCCCAGAGCCTCCTACCCGCCTAGGGGAGGGAAGAGCCAGAGAGGAGAGTGCAGGCAGCTGTTCTGAACTGCAGTATCTGCCCAGTCGATGAGGAGGAAGACACCTTCAAGGCCAAACAGCAAGAAACGCAAGCCAGTAGCCCTTCTCAGCAGTGCAAGGATCTAGGACATCTCCAAAGGCCTCATGATGGAAAATGCTACTCACATCCAGAGAAAAAACTATGGAGCTTGAACGCAGATCGAAGCAGACTGTTTGCTATTTTTTCCTTCTGTTTTGTTTTGTTTCCTCTTTCTGGTGGTTCCTCCTATTGGTTCTAATTCTTCCTTATAACATCACTAATGTGAAAACATGTTTAATAGGAATGTCTATGAACAGCCTACATCAGATTGTGCGCCATCTTGGGGAGGGAGGGGGAGAAAAATTTAAAACTCAAAAGCTTATGGGAGTGATTGTTGATAAATCAAAATAAATTTTAAAAAAAGAAAAAGAAATGAAAGGAAAAAAAAAAAGAAACGCAAGCCAAGAGACGACCCCAGATCTGGAGCCGTCCCAAACCACTCCCTGCCTCCCCTTGGGATCACCGGGTTTGGACATAGCCAGGGCCTCCAAGCTGACCTCGTCTAGCCTTGCCCTTTTAGAGACAGGAAAACCAAGGCCCACATTGGAAAAGTGACATGGCCAAGGACATGCAGGCGGGGAGTGGCCAGCCCAGGCTTCCTTCTACTTCATCTCTGGCTTTCTCCAGATCACTGCCCTCTTAGCTCAGCTCCCAACATCCAGAATCCCAAAGGGCCCTTATCTGGTGTGGACCGACTTGACGCTCCCTGCCTCATCCCCGACGCCTGCGGAAAGGCCTCCTTGTCCACAGAGATGCTGCTCCTGGGACCCTGAGCATTTGCCATCCCTTCCAAAACCTGCACATGCAAAGGGCTGGCTTGAGCTTCAGTCAGACTGGATTTATCTTCCCAGGGAGCTTTTGCTCTACACTTTTCCTCACTTCTCTCTCTCCTCGCATTGGGCCAGGGCCCTCGAGCACTTAAAACACCTGCAATTTGGGTCTCCCCAGTACTAACCAGGGCAGCTAGGTGGAGCAGCGGATAGAGCACAGGCCCTGAAATCAGGAGGACCTGAGTTCATATCTGGCCTCAGACACTTACTAGCCATGTGACCCTGGGCAAGTCACTTCACCCCGTTTGCCTCAGTTTTCTCATCTGTAAAATGAGCTGGAGAAGGAAATGGCAAACCCTTCCAGTACCTTTGCCAAGAAAACCCCAAATGGGGTCACAGAGAGTCAGGCACGACTGAAACGACCCAATAACAGCACTAATCTGTCAGACACACTCCCTCTCCTTCTTTTCTCCTGTTATTCCCATGCCACCGCTGCTCAAACAGCGAGCTCTTACCTACCTAGGATAGGCCCGTCCCCAATCCCCAAGAAATCTCCTAGGGCCCCAAAGCATGGACTTCATAGCTGCTTCTGCATTGTTTCTGGGACAGACCCTTGGAGAAGAGGCAGACTGAGCTGAGACCGACCCTCTCTGTCCCTCAGGCCTCAGAACCACAGCGAGACTGTTCCTCTGTGGTCCCTTCTAAATCAACCTGCTTCTTAACATGGGGCTTAAAAATCTCTTTCCTGAAATGATGACCTGACCGTCTCAGGCAGGGTGGTTCAGTGAAAGGCTCCCAGCTGGAGAGAGTCAGGAGACCTCTGCCAGCCTTCTGACCTTCCTTTCAGGCCTCGTCCCCAACGCGGGCCTCCTAAACCGCCTTCCCCTTTGAAATCAAGGAGAGGCCCCTAGGCAGGTGGCCTGAGCATCCCAGGACCCTATGGGACGCTGAAGGGAGTGATGGGCAGGCTCCCCAGCAGACAGGGAGGGCACTCTACGAAGGATGCATGATAGGACGTGGGCATGAGTCCTCTGCCCTCCCCCTCACCACAAGAGAGTCCAAGGAGCTCGCCGACACCCTCATCCTCACAACCCCATCGGACGGGTAGGATCATTCTCATTTCACAGATGGGTAAACTGAGCCAAGAAAGGCGACTCTGCCCAGTAGTCACTCAGCCGCTAAGGCCTCCCAGGTCAGGACCATCTAGGACCCACCGGGCCTATGACAACCCCCTCGGAATTTCATCAGGTGATTCTCGGACACAAGGAACCAGACGCCGCCAGGTCCAACACAAAGCTTTCCACCCTGGGAGATGGTACCTGCCCTGTCCTCGGCTGGGCCGGCCCTCCCACAGTGACTTCCATCATCCGTCACAGGAAGGGGGGGGCTCAGACGGTCCCCCAGTCCTTCCCACTTTCTCTTCTAGGAGCCCTTCCTCAATCCTGTAATCCCCTCTCTGAGCAGACATCCCAGGAACCTGAGGAGGGCTTGGGGCACCCCCACCTTTGCCAAAACCAGGCAGAGGAGGGCAGACGGGCTGAGGCAGGCAAAGGGACTGAGCTCTGGCGCCCAGGAAATGCCCCACAACTCACAGATGATGCGGCTGGAGGCTGCCGGTTCCTGTGCCAGCTTCCTGGAGGACCGTCGGGCGGAGCTGATCCGCTTCGGGACCATGGAGTACTTATGAAGCAAGGAGACCCTGTGGGCCTGTGAGGATTTGCGCACCAGGCTCCTACGCACCGACCGCCGGTCACAGTGGGAGCCCGTCGGGGTCCGGGGGCTCTCTGGCAAGTTCAGGAGGAGCTCAGTCTCTGGCTGCGGCCGTGTTCCTGCAGAAGAGGGCGCCCCGGCCAGCTCAGTCATTGCGGGCACCGCATCTTCGGGAGATGCTGGCCGGGCTATCCGGAGTTTGGCCACAGACAGAGCCGGCCTCGTGGCTTTCAGCTCAGGCACCTCAGCGGGCACCACCGAGGAGGTCTCTGGCGCTGGCTTGGGGAGGCTTTCTGCCTGCTTCTTTGGCACTGATTCATCATCGCAGCCCAAACTGAGGACAGAGGAGAGCTTCTTGTCAGCCAGCCTGGCCTTGCGGGTCGTCAGGCACTTCTCGGCACTCCGCTGCTCGCTGACGCTGATCTCCACGACGGGCACGAGCTTACCCACCGATGGCAGGTTCCCGGGCTTTTGGGGGAGCACCGTGGGGGAGTCAGGGGGCGAGGGGGCCGCCACCGCTTGGCTTCGGGTCCCACGAGGGATGGAGCCGTTCTCAGCCGCCACCAGGACCAGCCTCTCCAGCTTGTCTTTGCTCCGAAGTAGCCTGCGGCTGTGCTGACTGCTCCTTCGGCTTGTGCGGCGGGACAACCTGCAGGAGGAGGACAGCAGGGGCCCTGAGACCACGGCCGTAGGCACCGCCAATCCAGGAAGGCCTGTTGGTCAGTCTACAGCCATGTGCCAGGCATGTGCTAAGCGCTCAAGATACAAAGAAAGGCAAAAACACCACCCCTGCCCTCACGGAGCTCGCAGCGGATAAAGCGCTGGGCCTGGAGTCAGGAAGGCTCGAGCTCAACTCCTCAAAGCCTCAGACACTTACCAGCTGGATGACTCTGGGCAAGTCACTTGACCTGTTTACCTCGCTTTTCTCATCTGTAAAAATGAGGGTCTTGGACGCGAGGACCTCCAACGGCCCTTCCGGCTCCAAATCCATGGTCATGGCCCTCTTGAGGGCCTGCTGCCAGCACCAACATCATCCCCGGCCCTGCCCTGGCTTCTTGTTGGGGTCTCCTCTCCCCTCGACATCTCGTCCTTCCCTCCATATTTCCCACAGTGCCAAGCACAGCGCTAAGCGCTCTACCAGTTATCACAGGACCGCCATTTTAATGGATGGGGCCTGGAGGCTTCTAGCCCAGCCCCCTGTTTACAGACGTCTAGGGAGGTGTCACGTCTGAGGGGGGCAGAGCCGGATACTGACACCAAACCTGGGCCTGTCTCCACTGTCCTGCCTGGGCCCCAGGACACACCTACCTTTTCCTGGTTGGGGGCCTGTTTTCATCCTGAATAGAGGAAAACCGTTTCTTCCTCCGGCGGTTTCTCTGAGATGGCGTTTTGGGCATCAGCTCAGGCTCCACACTGAAGTCACTGAGGGGCAAAGAGGAGAAAGGAAGAGTCACAGAATATCTAAACTGGTCACCTCCCCATCAACGGCCCCCTCGGCCTGGAAGAGCCGCTGGGCCTTCCTGCTCGTCAGAAAAGAGGGCAAATCTCCTCCCGCTCTACCCCCATGCGCCAGCCTCACCTACATACCAGGGGTTCTGCCGAACCCAGCCCTCTGGATTTACAGTGTTCAGAGGTTAGACCTGGACCCAAGCTGGGGGGGTCCATTTAGGCCAGATCCTTCATCTTAAAGATAAGAAACTGAGCGGGGCAGCTAGGTGGCGCAGTGGATAGAGCACTGGCCCTGAAGTCAGGAGGACCTGAGTTCAAATCCAGCCTCAGACCAAACACTTGACACGTACTAGCTGTGTGACCTTGGGCAAGTCACTTAACCTCAGTTGCCTCACTAAAAAAAAGAAAAAAAGATAAGAAGCTGAGGCCCAGGGAGGTCACCTGATTCGCTCAAGCTCTTCCGTCTCCAAGCCCAGGGCTCTTTTTGGGTCCTTGACAGGCTGAAGGCTCAAAGTCTGTCTGGGACTTGGGGCACGTTTCCCCACAGGTGCCGTCACACAGAGGGCAGCTAAGCAGCACAGAGTGCTGGACTGGGAGTCAGGAAGGCCCAAGTTAGAATCTCACCTTGGACACTTAGCAGCCGTGTGACCCCATAAAATGGGGATGATAACAGCACCTACCACCTGCCTACCCTGAAGCTCCAGATAACTGAGCTTTGGGCACGGCCAGAAGAGTCCCTTTAGCCTGAATTGTACTTAGGTCGCCCTAAGATGCCCAAATCTGGTCGATCCCTCATCCGTGTCGGGGGAACAAGGATGTGGAGAGCCCCGCTCTGGCAGCCTCCTCCCCCGCCAGGGACCCCCACGGCCCACACTGAGGAAGGCTGCACGCTCCAGGGAAGACAGAGACCCTGGGTTCAAATTTCACTCTGATGTTTATGACCTCAGGATTCCCATCAGCAGAATGAAGAGCCCTGCCCGGCTTCCATCCTTCCAGCTCAGAGATCACCCCTCCCCACCTGGCAGGTGTGCTGAGTACTAACTCAAGGACGAGGAGGGCAGAGCCCAAGAGTGGGGGCTAGGGAGAAGCTCAAGACTGAGAAGAGAAAAGGGGGGGAAGGGAGAGCAGCAAGGAATTCTGGAATCTGAGACTGGCATTCCCAGCATCGAATGGTCCCCACAGCAACTGCGAGCTCAGCGCTTAGCAATGCCCTGGGGAAGCCAGACACTGAAGGAGGGGAGGGAGGCGCTCAGGCTGGTCAGATCCCTGCAGAACACAAGATCCATTCCACAGAGAAGAGAGCGTCTCACACTCTGGGCTTTGTGCAATGCCTGGCACAGAGGGAGGGAGGAAAGGAGGAGGAAGAGAAGGAAGGAAGGAGGGAAGGAAGGAAAAAAGAAAAGAAAGGAAAGAGAGAGGAGAGGAGGGGAGGGGAAGGAAGGAAAACACCCCCAAATAGGCAGAACTTTGGCAGGCGTGGAATGGGCCACGACGAGCATGCTTCTTTTGCTCATGTGCACTTTCTCGGCTCCTCTGGCTCTGCTTTGCTACGGGGGCGAGGTTCCCCATAAGGTCCCCCATCTTTACATGTTTGTTTCTGTCAGTTTTTGCCCAGTATCCCGGGCCCTGGGCCACCAGCCCTTTGCTGCTGCCCCAGGTGGGCTCCCCAGCCCTGGCCTTACCTGGAGAACATCTTCAGGGCTTCCTCCTTAATCTCCTGTAGCCACACCATATCCTTGTTGTCCACATTGCACAGAAATTCCACCAGTTTGGTGTTGCAGACCTCCAGGATGCTCGCAGAGCCCATGGTGGTCCCCATGGTTCCACCTGCAGCATAAGAACAGAAGGGAAGGGAAAAATTATAATGCTCAGGGTTTTCAACCTGGGTCACCTGAGCAGGTCCCGGAGTGCTCAGACCCAGCCTTGAAGGCCACATCCAGCCCTCCACCCTGAGCCCACTACCCACTGGCAGCTTCCTGGGATGCCAAGAACACCCGGATTCACTACAGCAGCAGTCTCGACCCTCTGATGTCTGCCCATGCTGGTGAACTTCCCTTTCCCCAGCCCAAGTCCCAAGTCTGCCCCTCTGCCTGGGCCACATTCTCCCCTCCCTCACCCTTCCTGCAGACCGGAGATATCGGAAAGGCTGAATGTTTCTAAGGAATCAAACCACGTTATAAAATCAAGTCTACTCATCCTGGGAAGGATGTGTCAATCAACAAGCCAGCCTGGTGACCACTTCCCTGTATGTGTTATCTCCCCCATAAGAATATAAGCATCCCGTGAAGGCAGGCACTGGCTTTGCTTGCCTGTATCTGCAGCCTGGCACTCCTTTCCTTCCTCCCTCCCTTCCTATTTGTCATCTGAAAATTGTCAAGCTGTCAGAGGCTTCAACAAGTCCCATTTCATTTCTGTGTCTTGGCAGAAGCTGGGAGGTCAGCACCCAGCACCCAGGACGATGCCTGGCCAGGAGAAGGCGCTTAATAAGAGGCTTGGCGATTGGCTGCAGGAGCCAGTGGAGGGTACCTCTGGGGCCCCAGGGAGGGAGGCTGGGGCAAGGAAGAGAGTACTGAGGGGAGAGGCCCGGAGGTCACACCTCACCTCTCCTACTCTCTGCCTTCACACATGGGTCAGAAATCACTGGCTGCTGAGGTCTCTGCTGGCCCTCAGTCTGATCTCTGGATCTGGAGGCAGGGGCAGACCTGCTAACTAAGGTGGGGTCGGCCTGGATGGCAGGCTGGCACTATTCTCCCTCGTGTGCTTTACCCCCAAAATGCAGCTCCCTGCTCACCAAGGTGTGGGCTAAGGACTCGGGCAGGCCTGCCCCGGGGAGGGTTCAGGGGTGTCAGGAGGAGCCCACACGGTCATTTCATGCTGCTGCCCTGTGGATGCAGAATCTGCAAGAACCAACATCCCTCCCTCTGCTGGTCTGCTGTTCTCCAGACCAGCCTCGTACCCATCGCACCACCACTCACCAATGTCAAAATGCCCCCTCCTCATTCTGATCAATTCCATTCAATTCAATGCCTGGATTTCAAGCTAGAGGGGATGCAAGCCACCAGCTGACCCATCCGGCACAGGAAGAGCCCACGGCGCAGAGAGGAACACACACAAAGGGCCAAACTAGGGCGAAGGCAGATAATGCTGCCAGGGTTCTTCCCTGATGACTCACGTCAATACCAGCCCCAACATGAGGTCAGCAGGTCTCATTAGCAAGGCGAGCCCTTAATTCCAGAACGTAACAGGGTCTGGGGGGTGTAGAGAGGGGATCAGACAGGTCTGCACACCCATCCCAAGCCTGACCGGGAACAAAACCCTTGGCTGCAAAAGGGGTTTGGGACTTCAGATCCATTATTATTACTGATAATAACAAATTTAAAATGCTTTAAAGTCTGCCAAGCACTTTACATATATTACCTCCCTTGGTCCTCACAACAACCCTGGGACATAGGTGCTATTACTGTTCCCACTTTACAACTGAGGAAACTGAGGCAGACAGAAATTCAGTGACTTGCCCAGGGTTACAGAGCTAGTAAGCGTCTGAAGACAGACTTGAACTCGGGTCTTTCTGACTCCAGGCCCAGAGTTCTATCCGCCGTGCCACCAGCTGAGGGAACATGGCACCGAGCCCCCTAGGAGGAGACAGCCCCAACATGGGACCCCCCGATGGCCAGATGGAGGGCCACAAACACTGTGACAGGTGCCAGGGAGGGAGGTTGGGCCTGGGTGGTGTTTGCTGCCCCAGTGTATCTGACACAGAGCCAACATTTGATACTCAAGCCCACAAGTGACAAAGATGAACAGCGACTCAATCCTTGCCTTCACAGAGCTTGTGGTCTAACAGGGGAGCTCTGATACACATGCGCGCGTGCATACACACACAGACACACAGACACACACACACACGTCAGTCTAATACAGACAAGAGTGTAAGGAGCCAGGCCAAGCCCTTCAGGGACATCTGGGGGACAAAGATTCCTCTCAGCCTTTGGGGTCTCTGATCAAACTGTCTGTGGGGTCCCTGGGACAAACAAAGGTGGTTGTTCACGTGCCTTCTATGGGAGGCATTTCATCAGAAGGAGAAAAAACCAGCCAAGAAACCACAGCCCGGCCAGGCCTCCCCTGGGGATCCGACCCCCTGGCCAGACAAGAGATGCTCCCCTCACTCGGACCTAAACACATCCCTGCCCCGCTCATGCTTACCAACGGGTCTGTGGCCACACCAGGGAGACCTTATCACACCTCGGGCTCCCAGGCCCCATTTTTTGGCCATTTCTTGACCACTAAAGCCAACAAGGAACCTTCAAAAGCAACTGTCCCTTTAGGCATCAGGTAGATTGTTGAGGTTGCAGAATTCCATGGGGGTTGGTGAGAGAAGGGCCAGTGAGAGAGAGACGGTGGGCAAGGCGTGAGGGTCCGGCCTCAGAGCTGGAGGATTGAGACGTCGAAGCTGGCTGGTTTTGCCATTTACTACTCATGTGACTTCAGGCAAGTCATGTCCCCATCTCTGCGCCTCAGTTTCCTCATCTGTTAGAGGAGGGGTAGGGGTGCCTAACGTTCAGATGCTCATTTCTTTTCCTCGAGGCCCTACTCTACAAGACTGCCCCACAAGCCAAAATGTCTTTCACCTCTTCGGTTCCCAGATGTTTTGAGATGTAGCCGTCTGAGACCAGGTATGGCAGAGGTAAAGCCATATTTCAGAGAGTTAGTCTCGAGATCTTTGAAGTGGAAAAAAATTCTGGCAAATGTCTTATTAAATTCTTTAAAATCAGCAACTCTAGAGAAGAGGCAGTATGACCTATTAGAGAGGGGTGGCCTCTGTCTGGCTAGACGACCAGGGCTGAATCCAATCTCAGACATCCTGGCTGTGTGACCCTGGGTAAGTCACTGAACCATTCAAAACTCCCAGATTACAGCAAAGGGGCAACCTGCATTGGTAGAGGGAGCTGCCTCATTGGGAAGTCCCCCAGACCAATGCACTCACAGATTTAATCCCTATCCCTGCAGAGAACCAGGTCATCAATACCTCCAGAGGCATTAAGGGTATGGGGGGGGGGGGAGATACTACAACAGAGGATTGAGCTTCTGGCGTGACATGAAGACACAAGTGACCTCTGAGGAAACACCCCCAAAGCCCAAGGAGGAGGGAAGAGAGGGAAGCGGGTGTGTTCGATCTGAAAGAGCCCGCCCGGAGAAATGGATCACTCCAACAACATCCCGGAAAGACATCACAATTCAGATTCCACACAAAGCCCAATCTTGGTTCCAGCAAAGTTCTGACAGAAGAAAGGTGAGGGTTTTTAGGTGTGGACTGCTGTGTCTCGAAGTCTGGCCAGCCTGTCAGTCTGGTTTGCTTCATTTTTTTCTTTAACATAATAGAACTCACAGTTGGGGCTTTTTTTTGGGGGGGGGCAGGGAGATTGTGAATGGTATTAAGAAATGACTGGTGCAAAAAAAAAAAAAAAACAACACAAAGTTTTTTTAAATTAGTGACTAGGAAAAAAAACGAGTGGCTGTAGGAAAATCCTCCCTCTACAAGGATGTGGCTTTAATTACTAAGTTCATCCACATTCAGAGGCTTCTCTCCCCCTGCCCCCCCAATGAAAACAACCCCAGGCCAGGCAGGCCCCATCCTAAGACCATAAATAACTTGGGGTCTGGCTCCTAAACCACTGTCAGCACCTGCACCTGCCTGGGGGCCAGTACAGGGCTCGATGATGGACGGCTTTGGACCAGTCCATCCAAGGCCAAGGGCAGCTGGCAAGTATTCTAAAGCTCTCCCTGGGACCCTACCCTTGCTGCCCTCCCCAGCAGAGCCCCACTTACTGGCAGGGACGGGACGGCATGCAGGAAGCCAGGCCGGGGGGGGGGACCCTCCCTCAGCCCCCCTCCCCTCCCAGTGTGGCCCCAGTCACAAGCCCCCAGTAAGGCCACCCTCTGACCAGGCGTCCGAAGCGAGGCCGGGCAGCGGGTCAAGCGGCGATCAGAGACTTAACGAGAAACAAGGAGCCTGGAGCCCACGCGGAGGAAGGGGGCTGCTCTGCGGGGGCGCACCGAGAATCAATCCCTGAGCGAAGAAGAGCAGCCTGGCCCAGAAGACCCCGGCACCCAGGCCGCCTCCGATCAGAGGCAGACACAAGAGTGAGCTTCCCGGCGTCCCACGCCTCCCGCACCGCACAGCGGAGGAGGGCGCGGGCCTCTCCCTTCCAGCGGTGACGGCTCGTCCGGCCTCGGGCGCCTGCCCAGGCATCGCACTGTCTGCCCCGCCCCAGGCCCGCAGCGCAGCTGACACCCGCAGCCAGTCGGGCCACGAGCCGCGCGAAGCACCCACTAGGTGCGGGTATCGAGGCAACGGCCAGGCTGCAGAGGGCAGGAAGGGGGGCCTGCCCGGGGCTCCAGAATCACCCCCGCCCTCGGCTGCCCCCTGGCTCGCCCCCTCGCCCCCTCGTGGGCTGGGGGCGCTAGGGCCTGCCTCAGTTTCCCCGTCTGCAAAAAGTCCCTCGCAGCTCGTAGGCTGTCATCGCGCGAGGGGGTTGGGGTGGTGTAGACGCGCCTCCGCGAGCTGGGCCTCCCAGAGGGGGGAGGGGGCCGCAACCTCACCTGGCTCGTTCCACCCGGCCCGGCCCGCTCCGCTCCGCGTCCTGCGGCCCCCGCTGTGGCTCGAAGGCGCCGCCGGCCCGGACTCGCGCCCCTCCGCCTGCCCGCCGCTCCGGCCGGCGCCCCGATCCCGGTGCAGAGGCCGCTGCCGCAACCGGAGCCGCCGCAGCAGTGAAGCGCGGGCGAAGTGACGACTTTCAAAACCGAAGACGCGGCCAATCCCGGGTGGGAAGGGCCGGGCCGCCGCCGGACGACCAGCCAATCGCCGCGCGGCTGGCGCCGAACCGAGCGCCTATTGGCCCACGCGGGTGGCAGTCAACGCTCATGGGGGGGCCGGTCAACGCAAAGGCCGCTTGCTTCCGCTTTTGGCCCTAGAGGCGCACCTGAGGGGAGGGGAAGACTACAAGTCCCGGCGTGCCTTGCGGCGGCGCCGCCCCGCTCCTTCCCCCACTCATTAAGCCGGACCGTTAGTTAGCAGACCTTTATTTACTTTTCTGGGTCTGTGTCGAAGTCTCCCTTAGATGTCAACTCTCCGAGGGCAGGCAGCTCTTTGCATCCGCGGATGACGCCCGCAGTAGGGGCTTGTGGAGGCTCGTCTCGTGTTAGGCACACCACGGTCGCTGGTCCTCACACCCAGCACCGCCATCTCCCACCTCCACGCCTTTGTCCAAGTTGCAGTCGCCCCCTCCCCACCTCTGCCTCTCAGAATCCCTGGCTCCCTCCCTCCCCCTGGTCCTTTCATCTTGACACCCCCGACCCCACATCTAGTACCTCCCAGGAGAAATTCGTTTGTATTTCAATCAACCATTGATTGAGCCCACACTGCACCTGCAGGAAGCATAAGAATGAGGATAACAAGCCAAGTCAGCCCCTGCCTTCAAGGAGCTTACATTCATTCATTCCACTGGAAAGAAAAGCGTCTACACCAATCCATGCCTGGGGGGGGGGCCCTAGAGTAGGAAAGGGGAGGGAGCAGGATGGGGAGGTCCCTGCGCCCAGGGAATGGTGGGGTTGGGGGCTTCTCTCCAGGATGGGGGCCGGGATGGGGGCCGGCTGAGGAATGTGGCCCAGCGCACCTCCAGCCTCCTTTGGGGCCCCCCTGACCACACGGCCAAGCAGCAGCCTTTCCTAGGAGAGGGAGGGATGGAGAAAGAGGGGGGTAGGCAAAGGGAGATAAAGGGGGTGCTTGGAATGCGACTGGCAGGACAGTAAGAAAACGTTCCCAGCTCAAGGCCAGGACCGGAGGGGAAGATGCCTCACACTTGTACAAGGGCAGGTGAGACCCTCTGCTTTACCCCGGCCTTGTCTAAGGCTTGGGACTTGGGGAGGGGGGTGCCGTGGGATTTCTGCAGGGCTGTCCAAGTTCATCAAGATGCAGGGAAATGCGTCAATCCTTAGCATTTCTATATAGTACCAACAAAGCCCGGCAGCAGGAGGTAGAAAGAAATTCCATTTAAGGGGCAGCTAGGTGGCAGTGGATAGAGTCTGGCCCTGGAGTCAGGAGGACCTGAGCTCAAATGTGACCTCAGACACTTGACACTAGCTGTGTGACCCTGGACAAGTCACTTAACCCGATTGCCTCACCAAAAAAAAAAAAAAGAAAAAAGAAATTCCATTTAAAATAACTGTGGATGATATAAAATTACTCAGGAGTCTCCCTGCCAAGACAAACCCAGGAACTATATGAACACAATTACAAAACACATTTCACACAAAGTCAGATCTAAACGATTGTAATAAAAACAATTCTACCTAAACTAATTTACTTATTCAGTGCCACACCAATCAAACTACCAAAGAGTTAATTTATAGAACTAGAAAAAATAATAAAATTCATCTGGAGGAACGAAAGGTAAAGAATATCAATGGAATCAATAAAAAAAAATGTGATGGAAGGGGGCCTTGCTGTACCAGATCTCAAACCAGATCACAAAGTGGTAATTATCAAAATAATCAGGTACTGCCTAAGAAATAGAGTGGTGGATCAGTGGAATGGCTTAGGTACACAATACACTATAGTACATGAACATAGTAATCGGGTGTTTGATAAACCCAAACACCCAGACTTTTGGGACCACAACTCATTATTTGACAAAAATTACAGGAAAACAGAAAAAAGTTTGGCAGAAACTAAGCACAGACCAACATCTCACACTCTGTACCAAGATAAGGTCAAAACGGGTATATGACTTAGACATAAAGGATGACACCATAAGCAAAGTAGAGGAACATGAAATAGTTTACCTGTCAGATCCATGGATAAGGGAAGAATTATAACCAAACAAGAGAGAGAGAATCATGGGATATAAAATGGATACATAAAATGGATTTGATTACATGAAATGAAAAAGGTTTTGCACAAACAAAACCAATGCAGCCAGGATTAGAAGGAAAGCAGAAAGTTGGGGGAAATTTTTTATAGTGTCGCTGATAAAGGCCTCATTTCTCAAATGTATAGAAAACTGAGACAAATTTATAAGAATACAAGTCATTCCCCATTTAACAAATGGTTAAAAGATTTGAACAGGCAGTTTTCAGATGAAGAAATCAAAGCTATCTATAGTCATATAAAAAAATTCTCTGACCCACTGAATTAGAGAAATGCAAATTAAAACAGCTCCGAGGTACTCCATCACATCTATCAAATTGGCTAACATGACAAAAAGAAAAGGACAAGTGCTGGAGGTGATACGGGGAAATTGAGACACTAACACACTGCTGGTGGAGTAGTGAACTGATCCAACCATTCTGTAGAGCAATTTGGAACTATGCCCAAAGGGCAATCAAACTGTGCATACCCTTGGACCCAGCAATAGCATTACTAGGCCTGTATCCCAAAGAGATTTTTGTTTTAAAGGGAAAGGAAAAGGACCTATATGTACAAAAATATTTATAGCAGATCTTTCTGTGGTGGCAAAGAATTAGAAATTGAGGGGATGCCCATCAATTGGGGAATGGCTGGACAACTTATGGTAGATGGTTGTGATGAAATATTACTGTGCTATAAGAAATAATGAGCAGGATGCTCTCAGAAAAACCTGGGAAGACATGAACTGATGCAGAGTGAAATGAGCAGAACCAGAACTTTGTATATAGTGACAGCAATATTATATGATATGACTTAGCTATTCTCAGTAATACAATGATCCAAGACAATTCTGAAGGACTCCTGATGAAAAATGCTCCCCATCTCCAGAGAAAGAACTGATGGAGCCTGAATACAGGTAGCGGCATACTATTTTTTTACTTTACTTTTCTTGGGTTTGGGTTTTTTTGTTTGTGTTTTCTTTCACAACGTGATGAACATATATAATTTTTATCAAATTACTTGTCTTCTCAATGAGAGAGGGAGGGAGAGAACTTAGAACTCAAAAAAAATTTTAAAGAACAAATGTTAAAAATTTTTACATGTAAATGGAAAGATATAAAAATTTTTTTTTTAGGCAATTGGGGTTAAGTGACTTGCCCAGGGTCACACAGCTAGTAGGTGTCAAGTGTTTGGTCTGAGGCTGGATTTGAGCTCAGGTCCTCCTAACTCCACGGCTGGCAGTCTATCAACTGCACCACCCAGTGGCTCTCCCACTTTCACAGGTTCTCAAAATGTGGTCGTAAAAAGCCTGAGGGTCCCTAAGACCCTTTCAGGGAATCTGCAAGGTTAAAACAATTTTCATGATAATATTAAGATGTTTTGATTTCTAATATGGTATCAGTAGGAATAACCAGCATAATCAAAAGCTCTTTGGGGCCTTGGGCAAATTTTAAGAGTGTAAACAAGGTCCTGAGACCAAAAAGTTTGGGAACCTCATCCCTCTACCAATGAAATCACTGCCCTAACCAGGAGAGTCACACAGTTAAGAAATGAATGGTTAGGAACAGCTGGGTGGCACAGTATATAGATCTCTGGCCTTGGAGTCAAGAGGCCCTGAGTTCAAATCCAGCCTGACACTTGCCGCATACTAGCTGTGTGACCCTGGGCAAGTCACTTAACTCCATAGCCTTACCAAAAAAAAAAAAAAAGTGAATGGTTCCAAAGGACCATATCCCCAAGCTACAGATGAGGAAACTGAGGTGCAGAAGAGCTGACTACCTGGTATTTACCCAGTAGGGGTCTGGGCCAGAGTTCTCCTAAACCTTCTTGGTTTCTGGGCTTTGCCCCTGCTAATTATTTCCTATTATCGATATATAGCTTGCTTTGCCTGCCGTCTCCCCCCTTACACTGAACTCCTTGGGAGCAGGTACAGTATTTTGCTTCTTTCTGCATCCCTAGTGCTTAGCACAGCGCCTGACACATAGTAGGCGCTTAATAAATGCTTATTGACTGGAGAGGGTGAGCGTCCTGCAAAAGGTCACACAGCCACAAAGAAGCAGGGCCTAAATTCGAACCCAGGGCCTCGCACTCCAAATCCAATGCCCTTTCCTTTGTTTCGGGCTTTTGCACCCTCAGGACCCAGAGAGGTGCTTTGCACACAGCAGGGCTCAAGCAATGGGCGTGGCACGGAACAGAACTTTAAAAGCCCCAAGCGCCCATAGACAAAGGCCGTGGGTCCTCCGAGCAGTCGAGCGGGAAGGAGCAGAAGGGCCCCGACCTGGCCCCTCTAGACTAACATCATAACTTCCGGTGGGATTCCCCCCTCTTCCGCCACGCCCACCGAGGCTTCCGCTTGCGGCCCCTGTAAACATTGTCGGCTTGGTAGGGGGAGGGGCTGGTGGGATTTAAGAGAGGGAGCATGCGCAGTGTAAGGACTCCCGGTTAGCGCTCATGACGCAGGCGCAGCTGGGCCCGAGGGCCATCTTGGTACAGAGTATTTCTGGCCCTGTGCTTCTGTCCATCCCCTTTCGGCCAAGTGACTTAACCCCTCTGGGCTCAGTTTCGCTATCTGTAAAATGAGCCCGTGCTCAGTGACCTTCCTGCTCCATGTTTTGGGATCCCTAGGACCTCTTTGGCCTCTGCCTCTGGAGGGGTTCATGGGAGCGGGGTTGGGGGGGATTCTTGGAATGCACTGAGCCAATCTCCTTCACTTTACAGATGGGGAAACTGAGGACCGAGGAGGGGAAGTGCTCTGTCCG